AATGATAACATTTATAATCACCATACGCGCGGTACATTAATTGCTAATTATTGTGCTCACTATAAAATTGGGAAGGTAAAATTTTTAACTCGATATCTGCGGTCAAAGGGGCGTCTTATATATCGGAAAAGAAACAACAAAAAGAAAATACTGATTCGATCGACAATGATCAGACTGATTCTGTTGAATATGATCGTGAGTAACGTGACTTGATATATCTAATGGAAAATAATTCTAGTTACCTGGTGGATCTTTTCTTGCATTTTGTTTGACTATTAAGTAAAGAATTGATATCAGTGTCGCTATTGCTAACAGAGAAGCGAACATTTTGGGTACGTCTTCTACCGTGAACGACTGACCGATTGGTTGAAATTCTCCTTCCTCAAATAATATGTCAGTTGTCACATTTCAATTCTTTTTATATGAAACTACCACCGATAAAGCGAGTTCTCCAAACTCTCATTTGGCGATAAAGTAAAGTATACGTAGATAAATTTGTCTGTTTTTCTAGCACTTGAATAGCATTTCGTGTCCCGTATCAGTTTCTTTATTGCTTCTAATTATATTTCACGTCACTATTTTAATTATTTCATATTCGAATATTGTAATAAATAAGTCACATGGAAACAATCTTTTTAACTACCTAATGAATTTTTTGAAATTGTTAAAAATTGATAATATTCTCATTACAATAAGTTAGACCTAAAAACAGAAAGCTTTTAAGATAAAATTCAATGATGTAGAGTAATATATTTGCAATGTAAATAAAAAAGTTTAGTTTATATATATTAGTATTATAAAAAAGGAATATAACTTATAATCTAATTAATTATTTAACATTATAAGAATGATATAAAAATAACAATAGATACCACCGTTATTGACCTACGAGCTTGAACTATTTCTATATTTACAGACTTTCTCAGTCTCCTAACAAGCAAAAGAAGAGACATCATTTTCTCATCTTCATCTTCCATTTCATTGATTCGATCAATCGCAGTTGCATTAATCTGTTTTACAGATTTCAAAATTCTTTCGATGAAAATTAAATTTTTAATAGTCTGTTCAGCTAATTCCTCTAACATCATATCAGGCTGCAGTTGTGCAATTAAGTGTAAAGTTAAACTTTTTATAATGACAGTAGAATCAGAATACACGTACCCTGTTTCCGCTTCATATTTTTCAGGATTTGATGCATCACCTAAAATGACAAAATAATTTTATAGCACTGAATATGTTGTACACTTTTGAAAATCATTTTCGAATACCTTAGGATCTTTCAACCACGTTACAACTATATCAAAAAGTTTACTTCTTGCATTGTAAGGTATGCGTCTAGTCATTTCTTTAATACATTTTGCGCACAAATTTACGACATGTTGAATCATCGTCATTTACTAATCTTACACCATTATAAAGATAATACCTGACTTCAAGATCAACGTTTTCTAAAATTACAATTAATTACATAATCAAGTCATGTGACTGCAATGATCAGCAGAAAAAAAGAAAAGGAAAACTAAAAAAAATTAAATGTACTTACTGAGAACCACGTAACAATATAACTCATCATAATATAAATCATCTCCAAAGTACTAAGACGACCTGGTTGCATTTCATAGCCAATTTGTGTTAAGTAAAATGCTATGTGTTTTTGTAGACGTTTCCCAAGTGTATATTCGATCAAATAGTTCCGAATAATTATATATCTTAATCAAGCATTAGAGTCGACAAACATGTATATTTAATAAAAAAGATATTCTTATTGAAAATTTTCTATTTATCGAGTAATAGCCGAGTGTACGATTTTCTAGTTATTACAAATATATGATAAAAAAAAATTTGAAAGAAAGATATTCTTCTCAATATTTTGTAATAAACTACGTGATCTTTTTGAGCTTCAGAGAATCTATTTTTCAGCGATAAGGAAATATCTTTGACAGACACGTTGAGGCCTAATATAAAAGGATCAAATCGCCATGTGGAGCGCGCGAAGGTACATTTGGAATTCTGCGAAACGAGCTGATTTT